ACCTGCCATAATGAGGCTCTGCTCCTTGACTTAGGGTTTGTGGATTATGTAGTAGTAGCAACAACAACAACAACAACAACATGCTTTCTTTTGTGATGTGTAGACAGCAAATATGGGCAGACAACATACTGCCACACAGACATACCTCTTGTACTGAGCGAGCTGCTGGCTTGTCTTGATGATTAGCCAATATCAAAAATGGCAAAGTACATAACTGCGGGTGCTGAAGAGCAGAATGCAGTTCATTCCTAGCAGTTTCTAGATCATCTTCAGAGGATGCACTGTCTAACACAAATATTACCCCTTGGGATCCTTGGTAGTAACGACTCCAGTACTTCCTGATATTGTCAGCCCCTTTCAAAACAATAATAAAAACTAATTAAAATAAAATGAAGTTTAACAGATTAATTATTCACATCAGATGACAACCGTTAGACTTAGAGTGCTTAAAATAATGGGACAAATTCTCTTTGATGATAATACATTCTTTGAAAAGCAACCAAAATCAAGAATGTTAATTTGTAAAAGCAGGCCAAAAGCTGGTCCAGTATCTTATACTTGCTCTGAAAGCATCCTTGTTTGAGAGTCTTCAGGCACTAAACCTCTGGAGAGCCATCAACTTTTACACCCCCACCTGCCATGTGTCACCTATTTATAAATAATGGAAACCTTCCCCTTTCTTACTCTTACCCTGCCTCAGAGTCTGACACTGTTACATGTGTTTTCTGTCATTTTCCATGTGGGCTCTTTCTGAAAGCAGTTCTTCTTATGTCTATGAAGCGTTATGTGAATATTCAACAGTTTAAAATTCTAATGAAAATCTACAGTGATTATATATTTCATCAATGGTAAGGTGATACAAATTTAATACATGCAAGGATTCACTTTAACTAATTTTGTTCCATTGACCATCAAGGCCTTCCTAATAAAGCTCTACCCCTATCAGGGAATGAAGCTAGGATGTAATATATATTAAGAAAGATTCTGGCTTGATACCATCAACCTATAGATAACAAATTCTTGCAGTTCTTTTGTCTGGAATGGCGCCTAGCCCGTAGTGGAAGGAAGGGTGGGAGAAGGAAGGGGATGGCGTGGGGGAAGGTGACAGTGTGTCAAATAAAGAAAGGTGCTTTGGAGAAGGATGTATGTAAATGTCACTTTTACATTAAATCTTCATTGAAGAATTGGGAAAAAAGGTTATTTATCCCTACATATTATGTATATATTAGGGCTGTGCAAAGCTTTGGTTGTTGATTCAATTTGGAGGAGAGCCCGATTCAGTAGCCGAAACTCCAATTCCAAATCAAATCAGGAAACCCATTAATCTCTTTGAATTGAATTGGAGGCTTCCAATTCGATTCGGAGAGATTTGATGATTTGGACATAGACACAGCTTTATGTTTTTTCTACAAACCTCAAGGTACCAGTGGGTTTGTGAACACTGAGATGGTGCGGAGGATGGTGCATCCCATGGGAGTGGGGGGGGGGG